AAGGCGCCCCATGCGGAAGGAACCTGTGCACATTGTTTTGCAGGTGAAGATTTATCGGAGATCCGACGGGAGTGCTCGTTGACTTCGTGCTTTCCCATTCCATCTTTTTCTCGAAATTAACTTCACGTTCTTGTGTTCTTTTTGGATAAAAAAGTAAACGTGTGTTATTTTAGTCTAGATTATATTTTTTAGCTGGGGCCACCTTGTTTTCTATCATTTTTTTTAAAGCAAAAACAAACACAACCTTTTAGTTACACTTATTAAAATAGTTTTCCTCTTAGGGCATGCAATTTTGAAATGGATAGGCCTATTTCAGATTTCTGTGCTAAGTTTCTGAATTTGTATTGTACCCCCACCTTCCCGCTGCAGCAGAGGATGTCAGAGGAGGCCTAGTGGGGGGGCTGGGACTTTGGCCACCCCCCCAGAGGTAACCCGGCCACAGTCCACCTCTTCCCACACCCCCTCAGTGGCAGCCGTGTAGTAAGCCATGAGGACGCATGCCAGCCCCTTCCACCTGCTCACCCCACAGCCTGGAAGGTGTGACGGGGGGTGCAGGAGACCAGAACACCTCTCTGTCCAGCAGTGACGAGAGTGCCCTCTTCTCTGTCAGAGGTGGTGAGTGGGGGAGCCTGGCTTCTCCCACGTGGCAGCAATGAGGCCGTGCCTCCCTTGTCCTGCCAGGTGGCATCAGAGGAAGCCAGCTGAAACAGAAGTTTATGCTGGAGACGTTGACACCCTGCTCTGGACACGCGACAGGACACCTATAGCAATCTCCGCAAGGATAGAGTAGAACTCCACCACAACACCGCTAACCAGCAGGACCTACTCACTCACAGAACACTTAAACCAATGAAAGTAGAGTATGCAGGCTTCTTGAGTCCCAGCAGAACATGTATCAAGAAAGACCACGTGCTGGACCATAAATCAAAACTAAAGAAGTTCAGAAAGATTGGAATTCTATAGAGTGGGTTTACCTCCCACAATGCAACCAAACTAAAAATCAATACCGGAAAGAGAGCAGGCGGTTTTCCAAATACTTGGAAACTAAACAGTGCCCTTCTGTGTATTCCATGGATCAAAAAGGAAGTCTCAAGGTAATTAAAAAGATAATGTTGACTCAAATGAAAATGAAAATAGTACGTGTTGAATTTGTTAGACACATCTAAAACAGTGCGGAGAGGAAAATGTACATCACTAAGTGCACACGTTAGAAAAGAGGAAGGTCTCAGTCGACAATCTACACACCTACCTCAAGAACCTGGAAAAAGGAGAGCAAAATAAAACCAAAGCAAGCAAACAGAAGGCAGCAACAAGAACAGAAATCAATAAAATTGAAAAAAGTAGAGAAAAATCAATGAAACAAAGGCCTGGTTATTTGAAGATAACCAGAAAACGTCAAACCTGTAGAAAGAATGACAAAGAAGAGAAAAGACACAAACTGCAGTCTATCAGGAATAAAACAGAGTTTCACCGCAGACCGTGCAGACACCAAAAAGATGGCGAGGGATACAATAATCAGCTGTCCCAAACGACAGCAGAAATGAAATGGACCAGTTCCTCAAAAAACACAAACTACCTCAATTTACCCAATGAAATACATCACTGAATATCTCTATAACCATCAAGGAAATGAACTTAAAATTTAAATCTCCCCAAAAGGAAATTTCCAGTCCCCAGTGGTTTCACTGGAGAATTCTACCAAATGTTTAAAAGAAAATTAACATTAAACTTACAAAATTTTATCTAGAAAATGGAAGGGAGCATGCTTCTCAATTCATTTTATGAAGCTAGTATTACCCAGTATGAAAACCAGACACAGTACACACACACACACACACACACACAGAACTGAAGATCAGTATCCCTCATGAATGAAGATGCAAGAAGACTTTTATTTTTAGCAACTATAATTTCACAATATGTAAAAGGAATTATCCACCATGAATAATTTGGTTTTTTTTTTCTGGAAATGCAAAGCTGGTACAATAATTTGAAAATCAGTCAAGATTAATCTACCATGTTAACAGGCTAAACAAGAAAAAAAATTGCATGATCATATTAATTGATGCAGAAAAAGCATTTGATAAATTCAACATTCATTCATGATAAAAACACTCAGAAAAATAGGGTTAGAGGAGACATCCTCAATTTGATAAAGAGCATCTACAAAAATCCTACAGTTAACATAATATTTAATGGTGAAAGACTGAGTGTTTTGCTCCTAAGATCAGAAAGAAGGCAAGGATGTCTGTTCTCACCATTGTTATTAAACATAATGCTGGAAGTTCTAGCAAGTACAGTAAGATAAATGAAATAAAAGGCAGATATATTGGAAAGGAAGAAATAAATCAGTCCTTTTGTAGATGGTGTGATTTTCTATGTGTAAAATCCCAAGGAATTTACTAAAAAAGAAAGGAAAAAGGAAAAGAAAGACTCACAGAACTAATAAGTGAGTTCAGCCAGGTTACAGGATACAACATAAATGTAAAATAATCAACTGTATTTCTATATACTAGTAAAGGGCACCAAAATTAAAAATATAATAACATGTACAATCGCTCCTAAAAAATGCGGATGGGTATAAATCTAACAAATCATGTGGAGGATCTATATGCTGAAACTCGCAAAGCCACGAGGAAAGCAAGCAAAGAGCTGCATAGGAGACATGTCATGTTCATGGGTTAGAACACATTGGTCAATAGTCTCACTGACAGTCAGCATTGTAATACTTCTCCCCAAAATGCCACTCAGGTTTAATGCAATTCCTATCAAAATCATAGCAAAAATTTGTTTAGATATAGAGCTATTGATAGACAACATTGCTCTAAAATTTATATGGAATGGTGAATAAATTAGAATAGTTAAAACAATTTTTTTAGAGATGTATTTATTTTTGGGGGGGTATGAGGGCAGAGGGAAACAGAGAATCTCAAGCAGACTCCCCGCTGAGCACAGAGCCCGACACAGGGCTTGATCTCTCGACCCTGAGATCATGACCTGAGCCAAAACCAAGAATCAAACGCTTAACTGACTGAGCCACCCAGGGGCCCAAAACAGTTTTTATAAAGAATAATGTGGGAAGAATTCATCCATTTAATTTAATGTCTTATTATAAAGCTTCAGTAATCAAGATAGAGGTGAGGGGATAGACACGTAGATCCATGGAACAGAGTAAGGAGGCCAGAAGCAGACTCTTCCCAATTGGTTCAAGTGATTTCAGGGAGGTGAGTGTGTCCATACTTAGTGGCAGGTGGGATCTGTGCGCTCAGGTGAATGTCCTGCATCTTCATTGAATTAATGTCAATACTCTGGTTGTGGTTGTTCTGCAGGACATTACCATTGGAGGGAACTGGGTAAAGGGCCCACAGGATGCTGTGTTATTTCTTACAACTGCAAGTGAATCTGCAATGATCTCAAAATCAAAAGATTAATTCAGAAATTTTTTTTTAAGATTTTTTTTTTTGACAGAGAGAGAGACAGGAGAGAGGGAACACAAGCAGGGGGAGTGGGAGAGGGAGAAGCAGGCTTCCCGCTGAGCAGGGAGCCCGATGCAGGGGTCGATCCCAGGACCCTGGGACCATGACCAGAGCCGAAGCCAGACGCCCAATAACTGAGCCACCTGGGCACCCCCATTCAGAAATATTTTAAGGTGATGGTAGCAGGTTATATATAGACGTAATAAATGGACATGAGTGGATATCATTTATTTAGATTATCAAATTGCCTTTGACAAGGCCAATGTTAAACTTCATTGGCTTGAAGAAATTGTCATGGTTAAAAGACCAAATTTGGAATCAGATTGTATTTTATCTTTAAAATGAAAAAAAAATTAAAAACCCTCACATAGGTGTTTGTAATGTGTGTGTATTTCTCGGCTCCACCCACTGAAAACTATAAACATTGACTGGCCCACCAATAATGTGCTGCTGTGTACCTTTTAGGGTCTGGTGGGGAGGCGTCTCTCAGTTTGATTTTCCCCTCAAGTATGCAAGGACTTCTTGAGGAAATACTTCATTCCAGATTTGGGACCAGGAAAAAAATATTCTTTGGAACCATGTGTTAACTTTCCACTAATGCCAATTTTATGTAACACATTCTCAGTCATTTGCATTATTATATTATGATACAATCACCAACTGTTGTGGGCAGTGTCTAAAACTTGTGTTGAGCTATGAACTCAAATCCTGCCAATACTGTGGTCATCCATATCTTACAAGTAAGGTCAGAAGTTCTCAGACTCAGAGTGCCCTTCAGACTATTATTTAACACATGAGAGAGCGGTATCGTGGTTTGCCCATTATCACAAAAATAATGAAGCTTGCATGCTTCAAGATTTGTTAATTTGATAAAGTAGAAACGTGTGCTAAACGTCGTGCTTCCTACAAGCATCAAACTGCCCTAGTTGAGCATTTGCCCTTGGATGTGTGTGCAAGATGCTGGTTCCTAGGTGACTTGACCAACTGGATTCTCCCACGAGGAAGTTCTGGACTTGAGTTTCAATGGGAGACCTTTAGCTTTTTCTCCATGTCGCCCAGTACAGGTGCCATTCATGAGAACTTTCCAAAGCAAGATCCAAAAAGCACAAGATCCAAAGCATGATCTTGTAATAACGAAAGACTCATCAGCACAAGCTTTAATGAAATGGACGGCACAATGTTTCGTGGTGTTTGGTCATAATATATCAAAATCTTTTTGTTCATTTCACCAAATATTTATCAAATGTGCCCAATGGACAGGCGTTCTGCTAGTTGCTGCAGGGAGACGGAGTTGAACAATTTGTAGTCACTGCGCTCACGGTATGGCAGGAATTTTACTGTGGGATTAGGAATGGCCATTACAAAATGAGGCCATAATAGAGGCAAAGACAGACTAGGAATGTTTTTAGAGAAATTCAGGTAGTCCAATTTGCGTGTGTGTGTGTGGTGTCTGTGTCTATGTTTTTAACTCAGAATCATGTTTTCTTCATTTTTTCCCCAATATTTTATTTTAAGTACTCTCTGCACCCAACATGGGGCTCAAACTCACAACCGCGAGATCAAGAGTCTCGTGCTCTACCGACTGAGCCAGCCAGGCACCCCGTGTTTTCTTCGTTTTAAAGACGAACTGTTTAAATGATCCAAAAGGACTCTTTCAATAAAGAGACCATTGAATTTCTTCAACTGAAATCACGCCTTCTTCCCCAGACATGATGGAATCCTCCTACCTGGTTTAGTGAGTTTTCTGGGCAGGCGAGGGTCCTCGAGAATAAAGGGGGGCTGCATGAATGTGAATCACCACCATTTTCTCTTAAACTCACAATCAGAGGGGGACTTGGAAAATTAGAACAGGAGACATGTCCCTTGTTTGATGTGCAGAATGGGAGCACCCAGATGGGAGCTTTGAACTTGGGTGTAACATGAACTCGAAGACATGAAACGCCTCTCTGGTGAATAATTGAAAACTTCCTCTGAATCAGATTATTCTTTAAAAGAAATAACTTTTGTGGTCATGTTTAAACATTAGTAACCGTGCCATTTTCTTTTATTATAGGTAATGTATGAAATTGTTGGAGCAATTGAAAAAAATAAAGACACCCTCTCACAGAATCTTCTATTTCTAATGAAAAGTAAGTTTTTTCCCCTATGGTTAAAATGCCACACATGCCTTCTTTCTCCATCTCTGAACATTGTCCTCTGTAATATGCCACCGGCGACAGGGGGATTGAAATATCTTTTACATTCTAAAGCCCGGAATAATAAAGAATGGATCTTGCCACACTGTACATTGGCTACAATTTAATTTGGAGTCTAGTAGAAACCATAATTTAACTAAGCTTTTAGCAGATAGAAATATAAAATACCTTTACCACTCTAGTAGTATGAACATAAAAAAGCTCCTTTGTGAAGACTAATAAAGATTAATACAGCTTCCAAAATTATTTAGGCCACAGCAGGGTGAATTTCATTACTGAAGATGAAGTCTGGAGCACACCTAAGGGGTGGTATTTTATTCTTACGTACTTTCCGTTATAAAGAATTAATGCCCACGAAGTAGAGGGAGTGAACAAATTTATATATACACACACACATGCGTATATGTATATATCAATGTATAGGCTCCATCTACTTAGTGAATCTTAGCCCTTTATGTACATGTATCTATTTCTATACAACAGGTAACTAACTATATACTACACTTAGATGTGGTGCATTTCTTTTTTCTTTTTTTTTTAAATAATTTTTTATTGTTATGTTAATCATCATACATTACATCATTAGTTTTTGATGTAGTGTTCCATGATTCATTGTTTGTGCATAACACCCAGTACTCCACGCAGAATGTGCCCTCTTTAATACCCA